ACTAGAGCGCAGGGAAAAATTCCTTTTGCATGAAAAAATAGTGCAGTGCGTGGAAGAATTCCTTTTGCTATTTACAGTTAGTAACTTAGTACTACTGTAAATGCTACAAGATCCTTACTTTGTTGTTGATTCTAAAGTTTATGCAAGGGCAAAAAAGTGAGCATGTTTTTTAATCACCAAACAATTGCTCAATATATGTGTATGATTTAGTGTTTTGAGACCCGGACCGGCCCGGCGGGTCGACCCGGGACCCAGTCAACCCGGAGCCGGAACTGGTCCGGGTGGAGTATTTGGACCGGGCAACCAAGGACCCGGTCAAACCCGGTCAAAACCCGGCCGACCCGGCAGAGACCCGGTCGACCCGGGGCATTGACCTGGCGGGGTCAACCCGGTTGACCCGGTCCATATATTTTTTTTTATATTTTTTTTTTGTTTTTTTAAAAATAAAAATATGTATATATGTTTATATGGTAAATATTTATCGTGAGATACATATTATTAACACTTTAATATACAAATTTTATACACAAAACATTTAATTTTGTTACTTTTATGTATATTTATATAACAAAAATACTCTATATATAATTTTAAAAATTTTAAAATTAATTATCCGGTTCAGAAATTGACCCGGTGACCCGAGGACCTGCCCGGGTTGATCACCGGGCCGGGTTTAAAAACTATGGTATGATTGGGTAACCAATTGAAATACAATTATATCATGTAAATATAAAGTAACTAAAGTGCAGACACTTCTCCTTTTTATTAAATAATTAACATGAAGTAATTGCGATTAACCTTTTTTTAATCATTTAAGACCAATACTTAGGAAAGTTATGCACAACGGTCTTGCAATAATGCAATGTACCATAAAAACTATGATCGCCTTTACACGAAAAATGAGAGTTAAAAAAATCAGGTTACGTTTGCTTGACAATGATTGACCATTATATTGAACTTTCCATTTATTTTTTTGAGAGATTTATCAAGTAATGCAACGCAAAGTCTCAATTTATAGAAAACTTCGTGCCAAACGAACAACTAAAATACAAATTGCAAAACCTCAAAAAATTCCCAGCAAATTAACACCACATAAAATATGTGCGTGGGTGTTTTTTTCCTAAAATTACAAATAATTTTGCATAATAAAATGGGATAAACATCCTCTACACCCACAACCTTAATCCAATTTCTCCAAAGGCCCTGTCCATCTATCTATAATTCTATATTCTATACCCACCCACAAATCCAGCTCCATTTTCCCCCAATTCCAAGACCATATCCTACCAAGATGACTTTCCTTTTCCTCCTCCTCATTTTCTCTCTCCTCACCCTCTCCTCCGCCCACTCCACCACCCTCTCCCTCTCCCCCACCGCCCTCCCTCCGCCGCTCCAAACCGACCTATGGCAGAAACTCCGCCACCTCTCCGCCGCCTCCTCCGCCAGAGCCCACAACCTCAAACACCCCCAATCCAGCCCCACCACCACCGCCGCCGCTAGCGCGCCCCTCTTCCCCCGCGGCTACGGCGGCTACTCCATCTCCCTCGGATTCGGAACCTCGCCGCAGAACCTGTCCTTCCTCATGGACACCGGCAGCAGCCTCCTCTGGTTCCCCTGCACCCAGCGCTACTCCTGCAGCTCCTGCAATTTCCCTGGAACCGACCCGGACACCATACCCGTTTTCATACCCAGATCCTCCTCCACCTCCAGAATCGTCGGCTGCCGGAATCCGAGTTGCAAATGGATCTTCCCCGACGTCCAGTGCCGCGAGTGCGCCCCAAACGCCACCAATTGCAACGAATTATGCCCGCCGTACATCATCCAGTACGGATCTGGATCCACAACCGGGTTGCTCCTTTCCGATTCCCTAACACTCCCGGGCCGAACCGTTGAGAATTTCATCGCCGGCTGCTCCGTTTTCTCGACCCGACAGCCCGAGGGAATTTCCGGGTTCGGGCGCGGCCCGCAATCCCTCCCCTCCCAATTGGGCCTCTCCCGATTCTCCTACTGCCTCGTCTCCCACAGATTCGACGACTCGCCGGCGAGCAGCGATTTGGTCCTCACTGCCGCCACCGCCGGCGGCGGCGGCTCGAAAACCGTCGGCGCCGAGTACACCCCTTTCCGGCGAAACCCGTCGACCGGAAACCCCGCGTTCGGAGACTATTACTACATCACGATTCGGAAAATCACAGTCGGGGGAGTGAATGTGAAGGCCCCGTACGAGTTCCTGGCAGCAGATGCCTCCGGGAAAGGAGGGACGATTGTGGACTCCGGCACGACATTCACGTACATGGACAAAGGGGTTTTCGAGCCTTTGGAGGAGGAGTTTGTGAGGCAAGTTCAGGTGGGGAGGAATTACAGTCGGGCCGTGGAGGTGGAAAAACGGGCCGGACTCAGGCCGTGTTTCAATGTGTCTGGTGAAGAGACGATTACTCTGCCAGAGTTGACTTTCCATTTTAAGGGCGGTGCCGAGATGGTTTTGCCGCTGGCGGATTATTTCTCGTTTTCGGAGGAGTCGGTTGTTTGCATGACGATTGTGACGAGTGATGGGCCGCTTGGGGGAGTTGGGCCGGGCCCGTCTATTATTTTGGGTAATTATCAGCAGCAGAATTTTTACGTGGAGTATGATTTGGAGAATGAGCGGTTTGGGTTCAAGAGGCAGTTGTGTGCAGATGAGGGTTGAGAATTTTTAGCGGTAACAAAAATTTAAATTGGGACTATTTTGCTTTTTTATTTTATTTTTTATGTTATTACTTATTATTAGGAATAATATTGGGTTTTACATTTCTTGGGAAATAAGTGACGGTGACAAAGGGCTCAGAAAGTATAGTTATATGGTGACACTTGATAAAATTACGCGTTTTCACGCACTAATGGACTTTGTTCACTTTTGTTTCTCTTACCTAATGAATTTTAAGTTCAAAATCTTAAATATTTTTGTCATCGTGGGAATAATTGATGTCACAATCTCATGTTGCTTTTGTAGTGGTGAAGTTTGAGGTGGATTTACTATTGAAGGCATCGTTAACCAAAAATTTGGGAATGTTTGCTTTATATTATTGCTTTACCATGCAATTTCATGGTGTGTGGCCAACGCTCGAATCTTTCCTTTATCACATCTTTTTCCTAGAAATATACTATTTTATTCTAATCTTCCATTGAATTTTTTGAAGGAACATCTTTTTCCTAAAANAAAAAAAAAAAAATAAAAAAATAAAAAAAATGTATGCTAATCTTTCGTTGATCTTTATTGAAGGCAAAACTTGTAGGACGAAACTATACTACTTTTATCATCTTGGCAATGATATACCAAAAATGAAAAACCTCTCTGCAATGTTCTCTTGATTTTGTACATACGCGTGCTATATTCAAAAACATCTTAGTTGTAATTTGGTCACGGTCTATTTATTTTAGTCTAGGCCGTTCAACTTGTGGCCTAGGCTTTTAGTTGAACTTTCAACAACATTTCTTTTTCTTAGAACTATATAATTTCATTTACTATACCTTAATGCACCCACAAAATATTTCTTAAATGTCTATTTAGTATTTACCCCCTCATTAGGTCAAGTATATTAAAACTTAAACATGAAAGTCTTCAAGGCAATTGTAAGACTTACAACAGTAAGGAAAAAATAAGAACAAAAAACGAATATTTTTTTCTTCTTTTTATAAAAACACATATATTATGCGAATATTCCCTAATACTTGTTTTCTTCTTTTATAAAAATATACATATATTATACAAAATATTCCCTAATACATTGTTTTAATTTATTGAATGAGTGATATGCATCAAAATGGTGTATCATATATGTGTGTTATTGATTCAATATAATGAAAACCTAAACAAAAAAGTATTTACAATAGTGACAACTTTTTTACATATTGTTAGAATATCACTTGTGAGTTGTCCCACATCGTTCATATATGGAAAATAGATCCACCTTATAAGACTAATGGGCTACTCCTCCTTCCACCAATTGATTTTGAGATGGAATCCCATTTGGGCTTCATATGGGTTTTTCCCTTCTTTTATGGTGTCCTTCATGGTAGTGGGCCAGCACATACTTCTAATAAATTATTAGTACTAGAAAATTAACATAGGATATGAGTAACTTTGTCAGGACTTTTAAACCCATTGGATATACTTTGTAAAATAATTTTATATATTTTAAGTTACATATGTAGTTCTTACAAAATCGCTAAAATGGATTTTATAAAGACAAGCTTTAAATATTGAGTCCGAGCCCATCCCTCCCCTCTTTAATACACTTGAGCAACTTGAATCGAGATATTTTTATATTTGACCAAATTAATATCTCAATAATTTCCACTCGTAGATTTTCCACTTCGAGAAATGAATGCATGGTACTTTCCTAAGGTAAACTCTTGAGTGTATCCTATTATACCGAGAGTTTTTTTTAAAATTAGTGCCTTAACTATGAGTGTATCAAAAATATTTTTATTACAATTAATCAACAGTGTACTGTTAGTATCACAACTTCTACAATTGGCAAATTTAAATCCGAAATTCAATTTTCGATTGAAAATTATAACATCTTGCTCAAATGTTCTATGAACTTTTTCAGTTAAAACTGGATTCAAATCGATCGATTTAAAAATTATGATACTTTTATGGATGAATTGAAATTAGTGGAGATAACAAAATTGAAAATATATATATATATATACAAAGGAGAAATTAACTATGAAGCTGTATTTTTATGATTTTGGAGTTGTGCGTAACAGCGTAAGCCATGTGAGCAAACAAGAGAACAAGTTACAAGAGGAATGGAAATCGTACATGCTGGTGACTGGTGTACAACATAATATATAATTAGTATATTTTAATGTATTTTCTAAATATTGTTGCGTAAACGTGTCGAGAACTTGGACATAGTAAAAACATGCCTTAACAATAGTAAGATTGTTATCTGTTATAACTTATAAGGTTTTGTTAGGATAGTGTATCGAACGTAAACAAAATGTGTTAATCTGCACCAACGGTTCTCAGTCGGAAAAAGTAACTTTGCTCAGAAACAAGCGTTTTGTGATTTATTGCATAATAATATCCATAAAAAGTATAAGAGGTCTTAAGTAAAATTCATCCACCACAACTCCTACGTTTTTCTAGAAATTCAAATAATACCTGCTAATAACTACCTTAACCGTTGCCTCGTGTCCAAGCTCGACCAGCTCTCGCGGCGCGAAAGTGTGGCGGTGCGGAGCTTAACGGCTCTGTGGTCTCTGTCAACTCGAGATGGTCGTCGTTGCGTGAGGCGTAGCGGGGCGAGACCTTGTTCAGCCTAACTCTTTGTTACTGCCTCGTGAGGAACGGGGCGCGCGAAGACTGGGACGTGTCGCGACGCAACGGGCTTCACGCTGTGAAGCCTTGGTCATCTTTCTTCTCTGTTCGCTCGTGAATGTTCTCGCGGCGCGACTCTCGAGCGAATGCCTGCTGTCGCGGCGCGATGCCTGAAGCCTCTCTAGTCCGAGTGTTTGTCCCATTTTGTGTGTCTTTATTTCATGTTTATTTTCTTTTTGTTCTCCCCCATTTGTAGGTTTTTCGTAGTTTATTTGGTCCATTTCTTTCGTTTTGTGTTTTTGCCTTTAGTTTATGTTTATGTGTCCTTTTGCCGTATTTTGCTTCGTGTTTTTCCGTGTTTGTGTTTTCAGGAGGTAGGTTGTGCCGGTCGAGGTTAGGGTTGCTTGAACTGAGACTGTGATATCGAGAATTCCCGTGGCCGAGCCCAGAAAACGACGAAGAGGACTGAAAAACGGACAGAAAACGCGCCTAGCATTTGTCGCGACTCACGAGAAAAACTGGGACTAAAGGTGCAGTCCGGAGCGAGGGTCGCGACTCGCGAGATGGTGTCGCGACTCGCGAGTGATGTTGCGACCAAACCCCAG